GCTGTGGGCAGGTGCTGCAGATGGAAGCACTGCAGGCCTGGCTCCTAAGCTACTGTGTTACCAGTTACCAGAAATCAACCATGATTCACTCTAGGACCAGATCAATACGCAGTAGCTAGCTAATGTAACAAGTTAACAAGCAAAGATTAACACCTACAAAACCACAAACTAAGGAGAGGAAAGAATCAATGCAGACAGTCAACTGCCCCAGGACAAAGACAGTCAGTTGCACAAGCACCCATGTCACGAGTTTTGCCTGTCAGCAGCTAGGGGTGCGGGGATAAGGAGATAAGTGCAGAACTCCCCTGCACTTATCTCCTTAACAGCTGGCAGGCTTCATGGCCTCAGCAGGCGCTAGCAGGCCTGTAGTTTTTACCCTGCTGCGCCTTAATGCACACAGGCTCATCTATGTCACAAGTTTTGCCTGTTAGCAGCCAGAGGTGCAGGGCCCCTGAAGCCAGACTCCCCCTGCACTTATCTCCTTGAAACTTGGCAGACTTTGTGGCCTCAGCAGGGGTGACCACTCCTGCACTTTTCACCCTGCTGTGGCGTAACACATGAAAGCAAAACTCATGTCACTTGTACGAATTTGGAGTGCAGTTCCCCCCAAATCCCTGCACCTATCTTCTTGAATCTTGGCAGGCTCCACGCTCTCCACAGAAGCTACCATCCCTGCAAGTTTCATCCAAATCAGATTAAAAAACAATAAAGTTATAGATATTTCATTGATTCCTCATTATACCCTATGGCTGGATCGCCGAAGCTTTGGCCAAATTGAAGCAGGAAACCAATTTGCAGCTCTGAATTGGATCGTTGGCATCCAAAGCCAAATCAAATAGCTGCCTATTCACACAGGCCTAGTAAGTAAAAGGTCTGACTTATAGTTTGGGGAGCACCATTTCCCCTCCCCTGTTCTACTTCATAAGTCACTTTGTGTCGTAAATCAAGCTGTAAGCCTCAGCACAACCAATAACCCATGTTATTCCTAGCTTGTGGTAGCAAAGATTGGAACTGGTGCTGCAGGCCCATGTCAAGGACTTACATGCTCCTTGCTTTGCAGGGCATTCCCTATAGACATTGATCTCCCTCGGCAGGAAGGTTGCTGATGGTTTGAATTCAGAAAGCTGTGTGTGTTGAGGTCACTTGGTGATGAAATTCTTGTGGGAGTAAACTTGCAGTCTGCAGAGAAACCTGGGTATAAGAAAAGGATTTTAAGTAAATGCAGACAGGATCCAGCAACTTCTCAGTATTCTCTAGATGAGGTTAATGTTCAAAAACTGCAAGTTGATTTCTAGAGAACCTTTGCTCCATTTGCCCCCTGCCAACACTGGTCACAACATTTCCCACCCCCCAATATATTGAAAATACTGTAATTACACTTGTATGCAAGCAGCAGTGGTATTCTGCTTATAAGCAAGATCCTGCTTTAAGTCAAATGATGCATTTCTTTCTTTTCACTCAAACGTTCTGAAGAGTCCCTTATGTTCTGAAACTGGAAACCTAAGAGGATTTTTAGTACTGGAACTTCAATTTGTGTAAAAGCTGTACAGCCAATGCAATGGTGGGGGGGTGGGGACAAATGGCTTTCAAAGGACACTCTCCAACTCTGTGTGTGTGGAGAAGGTCCTCATGTCAAGTGGCATTAGCAGACTAGTGGTCTCAAAAAAGCAGGGAAGCAAACAGGGTGGATTTGATTTAAAATCAAATCAATTTAAATCATGATTTAAAAATCACTGGTCAGGAAGCCTCAATTTAAATTGTTGTTTTCTACAGAAAGTGCATTCTTGTTGGTTGATATAACCTTAATACATATTATTCACAACTCAGAAATAGATGTAGATTTCACTTTTAAAAGGGTACACCCTATACATTTTAAAGCAATGATTTATTTTGATATTTTTCAGATTAATTTTGCAGCTATAGCAGAAAGCTGAATTATGACATTTACATTGTTTTATTTAAAACTAAAATAATAAGCTTATGTATTTTGGATATTTGTCTTAAAACAAACGTGTATAATTATTTTAACAAAACAAGCACATGCATTTTGGAAGCTTTAACTATTCAAATTACGTGAAATGTGTTAACAAAAATTAAATGGATTATTTCAGACAGATCAACATGAGAAATTTAAAATACTGGGTTATGCAGCAAGCTCACTCTTTACCTTCCTCTTCCTGTTTATTCATGAAGTGGAGAAGACAGACAAGCTTTCCAGCTTTTTCAGTTCTTAAGACATTTCTCAAATTTAGAATGAATTAGCCCAAAGGAAGAAAATATTCTGTCTATACCTGCAGAAGAAGCTAGTGCTGTTAAAGGATGGATTACTACTTTGATAGTCTCTGATGGATTAAGGTGCTTAAGTGACTTCTATCAGCTCAGTTAAAATCTCATCAGCAAATGTTTCTTGAATGGTTCACCTTTAGCCCTGAAATTTATTGCAACTGGTATTATGGAGGGATGATTGCTGGATGCCCATGTCATAGCCAACTCCTCCTCTTCAACAGTTAAGGATTGACCCTGGTACCAAGTATTGAGACTAATGCCAAGGAAGCGAGCAGGAGATAGTGCTTGCTCCATTTTGGTTTTTTAGTGCCTCACTCAGTTCCTTCCAAATTTCAACAGTGTCAGCAATAAAACAGCCATTTCCCTGAGCTTTGTTCAAGGCTATGGAAATAGGCTTCAGGATAGTCAGCACACGTTCTACATTTCTCAATGTTGAGAACGCTGGCTATGACTATTCCATTTATTTAGTCATGGTTTTATTCTCAAGTTGTCATCAGATTAGGCCAGTTCTCAATATAAATCACTCAAAACAGTCCACTATTTAGTTCCATTGCATATCTTGTGGGAGAGTTAGTTTGGTTCCTCCTGTTTTTTCAGAGCAGGTGCTGCAAAGTGGTTGTTACAGAAGTTATTTTGCAATTTCAACAACATTAACCTTTATTTCTGGAGCACTGAAGTCTTTGGCTAAGAGGTGCATCAAATAAGTGCTGTAGCCATATGTTATTAGCTTGGGGCTTTTTCCTAGATTTCTTCTCATCTTTGATACGTTTGCAGCATTGTCTGTGACAAAGCTGCATACTAGAGATTTGAATAATCTCCCCACAGTTTGTTATATCTTTTACTGCTACTTCTTGCAAGTATTCTGCTGTGTGGATTTCCTGCTATATCATTTGTTTCTGTAAAGTAGACAGTTCCTTCTTCTGTTGTCCGCAATGATCTAGTAATACGTGCTTGTGTGACATTGCTCCACCCAACAAGACAGGTTAACAATTTTTCCCCTCTAGACTTTTTGCACACTGTTCAATTTCTCCCTCATACACTTTATCCAGCAATATCATCTCAAACAGTATAATTGGAAGTTATAATCCCTATTCCATGATATCTTTGAGCTTTAACATATCTTAAATCATCTTTATTTAGGGTTTTTTTTTTAAAGCATCTTAAAAAAAGTGTGATTCATTAAAAAGAAAAAAGATTGACTTTATTTTTTTTAAATAGTTGATTTTTATCCACCCTGGAAACAGAGGATGGTCATGGGAAAGTAGATACTCACTGACCCCAGTACTCAGATCGCAGTGACAAAGGAGACACTGACCTCTGCTGTTGCAATTCTGTAAAAATGACCTTTCTGAGGTCACACTCTGGGCATTTTCCAATGGCCAACCTCCTTCCTGTGGACAATAAATGAAATCCTTTTATACCTAGTACAGAAATATGTCCCCAGGCATGCCTTACTTAGTTAAATTACCTTGGCATAATCCAGAGCTGAAGAGATTAGCATATGTACTAAGAACTGCTAAGGAATGAGACAACTGGGACTCTTATGAAGCAATTAAGAAAATGTCATTCCAGCACTAACAATTCTGACAGTGTCTCCTATGATTTCTTATCTTCTTAGTGAACCAAAAAGAGCTCTACCAACTCTACACTGGAGCTCTGCAAACACTTATTAGTATTTCAAGCACAGACACCTATAGAAAATTTTCCAGTTTGCAGGCCAAAGTACATGTGCCAGAAGCAATTACACATTAAAGCTTTATTTTTGTTCCAGGTCGTTGCTGACTAAATACAGCTTGAATTTTACATGTCAAATGTTTAAGCCAATTGTGATCAATCCAGTGACTTTAGAAAAAAAGTTACTTTTCAACACATTTTAAATTAAGTGCTTGCTTAGATGCTCCACAGGCAGAAGAAACTAACTTAACTGGTTTAGTTACTTAAAGAAAATGATTCAGTCCATTTTACTATAAACTCCATGTGATAGGAAACGCAAACGCTTCTAGAGTGGAGAATAGTGACCAAGTGGCAGTTGTATTATATAAGTGAAAGGAAGAGAACAGAAGAAAGATTTTCCAATTTTGGCCAAGGAAGTCCCTACTCATGCAAAGAGAGTCTATGAGATCTCTGCTTAAAAAGTAGGAAGGACTACCCTATAAAAGAAAGTCAAGCATGGTTTGGAATTCTGTAGCTAAGAGGACTCCAATGAACTAAATTCCTTCATCTGGGAAGGAAGAAAGGCCTCAAGATTTGAACCTGAAGTTTCAGGGTGCATGCACTTGCAGTGTGATGCCTGAATCACTTCACCCTCTCTAAATTGTGGTTTCATTTCAAGAAATACCTGAAATTCTTGGCCCAGCAGGTCAGAACCCAGCAGCCAGTTTTCAACTTCGTGAGCATTAAGTCCTGTACTGGCATTTTGGATAGATAAACCACTGTCGCAAGGAAAATTAAAGATGTTTAGTGTCACAGAAGCATCTGTAAAAAACAAAAGACGACATGGAAACAAGTTTCAGTGACAGAAAGCTGGACTCTTTGGCAAGTAGATGGGGGAGGTAGGAAAAGTGTGTGTTCAGGCCCAACCCAGACCAGCAGGAGTTGAAGGACATGTGCAATATTGGCAGTCAGCTGGTCTTCCTCCTCATTAGCTAGGACTCATCCAAAAGCCTTAACCATTCCCTGGTTCCTGAACTGCAGCCACAAGATGCATTGCCTCCCACCCTACCAAAGACTCCCTGGCATCTCTACAGCTTAGTCACCATGACAGCACTCTGGTGCAGCAGATATCATTCATGGGCAACAGCTTATCTGCTCCCTGCAGTCTCAGAATATCCATGTTCTGACTTTCCTCCTAAAAGATGAGGTACCCCAACCAAATCAGCTGGCCTTAGCATGTAACATGAGCTAAAGGTATCTGCAGAGTGGCATGCTGGTGCCCCTGACAGCAGAGCCAAAAGCCACTCATCCATGTCCTTTACTTCATCCACCTCAAACCCTGAACTCCTATACCACAACTGATGCTGGTTTGCTAGGAGTCAAGCTGCTTTGTAGAGCTAGTGCTCATGTAGTACCTTTGGGCCTACTTTTATTTCTTTCTGTGGGAGATGGCCGAAGTTTGTGTGGCTGTTTTATTTCTGTCATGAGCAGCTCATGCTGACTAGGTTCCTGCGGGAAACAGTCCTTCAGTTTTCTCTCTACCACCTGCAATGCAAGGAACAAGGCTAAGAAAAGCAATCAAAGTGAGGACTCCAGGAGCTCCAGACAAGCCTCCTTCTGCCAAGTCAAGTACATTGCTATACACATCCTTCACACCCAGGCAGAACCCCTGTCCTCCAAGAATTCTTAGTACATACCACCTCTGCATTTCACATACTAATTCCACTACAACACTGGGAAAATTAATCAGAGTTCACCTGACCAATGGGGATCCTTCCTGTGGACAACTTGCCTTTGCAACACAAGTTGGCAACTCTAAGAAGAGCTCAACAAGGTTGTACAGAAACATTTTAGAATCAACAGGAGGATTATTGCAGTCTTCTGCTCTTTCCCTTCTCTCACAATCATTTTTACTATTTTAAGTAGCTTTCTTTCTACCATGTAACAGGTGCTTTTGGGGCTAGCCACAATTTTATTTTGGTTTAGAGAAGAAGTGCTATTCTATCCATTCCCAAGTTGAAATGGTAGTTGAGTTGGTGGTGCTTTAACCAGTTTTGGTTGATTCAGAAATCCTTCTGCTTATTCCATATCTTTATTTGTGATCCTAAGTCACTTACTGGCTTTAAAGGCAGCTTTAGAAGGATTGTGTTTTCTTCAGAGCTCCTGATCTTTTGCTCACTGTTGATCTGAAAGGGCAAGAAAGGAAACTTAAGTGATGAAAGCTCATTTTCTTCTCACTTGGCTTCTTATCCCCAGAAATAAGCAAGATTGGGAAACAGTTCCAATCCCATGCCAAATACCATACAGGCCACTCATGGCTTTTTTAGATAGCATTTAGCTCAAGGAGTGAGATTAAACAAGGAGTTTTTTTTTTTTTTTTTTTTAAGACGAAGATCAAAGGTGTTAAAAAAATTTGATGAGAAATGTTTTTGGGGTAAGAAACAGCTTTTCCAGTAGGTAGCCACGCAGACCTGAGCTGAGCATCAGTTGAGGTTTACTCATAAATCTTAAGTCCCCACAGGTTCTTTTCTGGGGTTCGCAGAAGCAACCCAGAAGTCTTTCTGTCTGCAGGCAGCCGTATAATGAGGTGACATGTATCCAGACACCATTGTTGCATTACAGTCCAAAGGGATGCCGCAAACTAGAGCTCAGCACACTTTCCACACCCAATAAGCTAAGAATGGCTCCACTTATAGCTCAGTCAAAAGAAGCTCCTGAACAGATGAACTGCAAATGAAACAGCTGGTGAGCACAGCAGTAACTCAGTTCAGGGTTTTGTCAAGTGTTCACATTGAAGAATGCCAAGATACGGATCTTCTCACATGGACACTTCCTCTACTAACTTCAATGTCCCAATGGAGTGTTTGCATGAGGAGAGGATATCAGAGAAGATAAAACCCAAATTTTTAATGCAGTGGGTTTTGTGTTTCCATATTATTCACCTGTCCTTGCAGGTAGGTCTATTGAGCACTAGGATGCCCAGGCAGTGAGGAAGGACACCATGTACATTTCTAAATAACTCAGTCTGACAATGACCCTCCTCTGTTGGTTATACCTTCAGTTTGCCAACCTGACCACAATGGGATAGAGACAGATGTGGACAGCCTTGCAAATTCCAAGTGGCATATCTGAATCGAATCGATCAAAGCAGCCTCCAGATACCAGGAGTGAATGGAAGATAGAGCAGTAGCTAACTGGAGGTATCAATGCTTAGTGCCTGCTTCTGTCACAGTGAAATATCTCTGGACTGAACTCTGCCAGTAGCCCACAGGCAATGGCTGAAGAACCCTGGGTCAGTTCATTCAGTCACTGTAGATTATAGTTTTCTCCTGTACGGTGGACCTGTATTTTAGTGCATTATCATCCCTAATTGTTACACGTCAAGACCTATCACCTACCAGTTATAAGTCCCCACAATGCATAGTCCACAGCAGTGCTTCTCAACATTTTTGATCCCACGCCCCACCCAACAACTACAAAAAGATCCTTGTGACCTCTGGAACCAGAAGCAGAGGAGCAAGGCAGCTAGCTCAGTATTCAGCTTTAAGCAGGAAGCACTATGGCTACTTAGGCTGGGTGCAGTCCTTCACTAATTAGCTCTGCCACTGCACATGATAGTTAGCCTGCCTGCAATATCACTTTAAGATGGCTGAACTGCTTCTTGTTTGGGAGGCACAAGAGTAGCAAGGCATCTCAGAGAGATGCCACCTGCCTCGGTGGAAATATTTATCAGCTGACACTTCAGACCCTAACACCACTGAAAGCATCTCACCCTGCCCCCAGCATCCACCCTTTCAGATCACTTTGAGCACCTCTGTGGTCCACTGTTGAGAACCAGTGTTTTCAAAGTACTTTCTTTGGTTCCCACATCACTGTGCCATCTGATCACTTAGAGCCTGAATCCAGCCAACCCTTTATTCACAGCTTGTTCTCCAGATTACAACTTTCCAGGCTAAACAATAGAACTCTGTTGTAGTCCAGAATAAGACCCAGTGTTTAACAGGGAGGGACTAAAAGCAACTTAGAGTAAGGGTCTTCATGTCTGGCTCAGTCAGGGCTGTTAATCCCTTTCATTTTATGAGTAAATAAGAGGCAGAAAAGCTGATGTCTTAAAATATGGTACACCACACTAAAAAGAGGGAAAAGCCTTCTTTATTGCAAACAAACTTGCTTCTTATCTTTTGCCAAAAAGATGGAGAGTCTGCTTTCAGTGCCCCCTGCAATGCCATACCACCTCTTTCCAGCCTTTAAAACCTGCCATCATTACTAACTAACCCTGTGGCATGCAAGTGGCACTGCAGACCAAAGGAACCCAGTCATCTTTGTCAACAGTGAGCAGCCTTGGAAGCCACTAAGGACTAAATCAGCACAACAGGAGTCTCTAGGAGTTTTTCACTCTCCTCAGCTTTCCCAAATTCCCATTCAGGGAGTGCTGTGTGGTGTTTGCTGCTTGAAACAGACAAAGACCAAGTGCTTTTACTGATCCAGAGGAAAACATACTTTATATGCACAACTACCATTGGCAGCATCCTCGTTTTCTCAAAAGAGATCAGATGCATAAAGAGCCTGTCGGCACACAGGCTTGTGTTTGAGGTGAAAGGAAAAAAAAGTGGGCAGAAGACAGTTTCATCAAGCAGCTTTATGTGGAGTAACTTAGAATGCTTTCACGAGCATCAAGTTTAAATTCTTGACACAGAAATGAATGAATTTGGGGTGAATGTGGGGGTCATACACTAAGTTCCAGCTCAAGGGGAGCTCTAGCCCATACTCAGAGCCTAGAAGATCCTGAAGAAAGTTACAGGATGTAGACATGTTTAATTTAAACCAAAATCGGTTACCAGCTACCTAGAGGAAGACTCCAAACTTGATTCGCTGACTACTGCCCAGGGGTGCATCCAAGAGAAGTGCAGTGGAGCAGTTGCACTCCTCTTTGATCCCTGCTCCACCCAAAGTTTAAGACCAAATGCCTGGCAGTAGCAGTAGCATTTCTATTCAGGTAGCACTGACTTAATGGCTCAGTGTAATCTCCTCGATTCCATCTAAACTCTTCATTCCACAGGTGTTAAACACCCTCTCCCCTTTCAATGATCCACTAATCTAGCTATCCTTTCTGCTGCAATTCTGCTATCTGTTAGCTACTTCTGATAACATAGCTCCTATTTCACAGCCCTGCATACTGGTTTTAACTCCAGCTAAAAACATCAATTCAGGTGTGGAAACATTAACTCAGGTGAGCATTAACTCGGCTGTAGAATTAACTTCCAGTGAAGGATTGGATGCACTGTCAAGATACTCAAGGAAGTGAAACTGTTTTATGAATCTGAGAGATTCATACATTTAATTTTGATGGCTACAGAACTACTGGAATAACATCCATGTCTAGCTGGTTGTGATTTTTTTTAAATACATAATATGCAATGTAGGAAATTAATGCATGTTCCGATAGTTATTGCTTTTTCTTTTGATCTTAAAACTGAATAACATGGCCATGGACTCCTAACACATTAGTAAAGCTTCGTTTCCTTTTAACTGGAGAAAAAAAGTGTATTGGTGTGGTGAACCATCACATGTAACACATCTCCACCCCTCTTTTCAAAATCATAGCTCTACCTATACTACTGCAACTCACCTTCACCTTCTGGAGAGTATACCTCTTGTGTCGGATGTCATCTGCCAATATCTCGAAGGGGGAGCGGGCAGACTCTTTTAGAGGACTGTTATGCTGTAGCTGTTTTGTGGCCTTACGCAGCTTCACTCCCTTCCGCAGTTCATCAACAACATCATGCCACAAGGCAGCCTGCAATAGGGCAGCACAGGTTGATTACATACCATGCCAGGATGTCTGAGGGGCATTTTCCTTGCATTCAAAAAGGGAGGTGCTCAATGAGCAACTCAAGGAATTTATAGCTGCAGAAACACCTGCTTGGGATTCTCATTCATGTTTCACTTCTACCACTTGTAGAAGTGAATAGCTGCCTAATGGTTAAGGCCACACAGGACCAGGAAATGAACTCTTGGGTTCACTTCCCAGTCCCGTCATTAACTTGATGCATGCTTCCATTTAAAAAGTAGCCTCTGCCTCAGTTAGCCTCTGTGAAGGAATGGATAAGATATTTAGTCACTCCATGGCTGCTCCAGGCCATGCTATTTTGTAGAGCACTAAGGCCCTAAATTGAAGTAATTAAAAGTTGGCCTGGAGTATAAAGTCCAAAAATTCCTACCCTCATACTTCTGAATTCCTTACATTACTGGGGTATGAAGTTGACTTACAAAACCAAATTAGTCATTTGGACTTAACTACAGCATCCAGTTTGGCAACCACGATATGTGCCCATTCCATTTTGTACGCCTAGCTGCCTTCACATGGATGCTGAAGCATACAAGATAACCCATTTAACCTAACAAACTAAACTTGGATCTACATATTTGGGTAATGTGATTAAAGAGAAGTATCAAGCCAAGATCATATCTGGATCTTTGAGGTGAAGTAAACAGGTTGCTTGTCTGCTTTTCACTATACTGATTCAGAAATGCCTCACTTGAAGTGTTTTGCCTACTTTCCCCTCCATTCCAAAGTCTTTGGTCTTGATACCCTCAACTGCAAAACTTTCAGAAAAATTCTTGAAGAATGACATCTCAGCTGAAGACAAAACCCTCAAAAGGCAGAGATGAGAAGGATATTTAGTTGTATATTTAAACATTCAAAGTCCTTTACTAATCTCATTCACTGCTACAGGCTTGGGACCAACTGGCCAAGTAGCAGCTCTGCAGAAAAGGACTTGGGGGTTACAGTGGACAATAAGTTGAATGAGTCAACATGCCCTTGTTGCCAAAGAGGCAAACAGCATACTGGGCTGCATTAGTAGGAGTGTTGCCCCATGATCAAGGGAAGTGATTATTCCCCTCTATTCTGCAGTGGTGAGGACACATCTGAAGTCTGGTGTCCCGTTTTGGGCCCCTCATTACAGAAAGGATGCAGACAAGTTGTAGAGAATCCAGCGGAGGGCAATGATAGTGGTTAGCAGGCTGGGGCCCATGACTTCTGAGGAGAGGCTGAGGAAACATAGCTTATGTGGTCCAGAGAAGAGAAGGTGACCTGGGGGGAGGGGGTGTGGAATTCAACAGCAGTCTTCAACTACCTGAAGGGTAGGGCTGTGCAGAGCTTCAGGTGCCGATTCAATTTGGAGGAGATTCGGCCCAATTCAGTGGCCAAAGCTCTGAATCTGAATAGAATCAGGGGACCAATTTAAAAGGTCCAAACTGATTCAAAGCTCTCTGAATCTTCAGAAAAGATTTGGAGAACTTTGATGATTTGGGCAGTCCCCGCCCACTGCAGCAGCTGCTGCCACTCTGAGCTGGTAAGTACTAGGGGCGGGGGGACTCCTGCCAGCCCCCTTGACCCCTGCCTGGTCTCCCAGCACCCCCCATAGCTGCCCCTACTCGCCCCAGCTTGGTACTTTAAAGAAAAGCCCTGGTACTCACCTGGTGTTGCCAGGCAGGGGGGGTGATCCCCGCTGCCCCATGCTGCATGAGCCCCCTGACCACCCCCCTGCCTGCTCCCCCGCTGCCTTAGCTCTGGCCCTTTAAGAAAAAAGCGCCAAGAAGAGACCCGGGAGTCACCACTCCTGCAGCGGCCTCAGGAGCTCATGCAGAGCCCCCCACGTACCATGGGGATCACCCCCCGACAGCAGAAGCAGCGAGTCTGGGGGCGGGTTTCAGTATTTTTTTTTTCTTTTCTTAAAGGGCCAGAGCTGGCCCAGGCAGGGTACCTGTGAGGGGGCTGGGGGAGCAAGGGGTTGGGGGCTTATGGAGAGCCCCCTACGCAGCATGGGGTAGTGGAGATTACACCCTGCCCAGCAGCATCTGCTGAGTCAGGGCTGCCTTTTATTCTTTTCTTATTTAAATAAAAAAAAGTGCCAAGAGCTGGAAGAGGGTCAGGGGATGGGCAGAGGGGCAGCAGCCAAATCTCCGAATCAGATTCAGCCAAATCAAAAATCGGGACAGTGATTTGAATCACCGAATCAAATCACTGTCCCCTGAATCGGTGGAATCCGAAGCAAATACTAGCCGCTTCACACAGGCCTACTGAAAGGGTGGTTCCAAAGAGGGTGGAGCTGGACTGTTCTCAGTGGTGACAAATGTGAAAACAAGGAGCAATGGTCATAAGTTGCAGCAAGGGAAGTTTAGGTTGGCTATTAGGAAAAACTTTCTCACTAGGAAGGTAGTAAAGAATTGGAACAGACTACCCAGAGACGTTATGGAATATCTGTCCTTAAATGTTTTTAAGACCTGGTTAGACAAAGCCTTGGGTAGAATGATATAGT